CCCCCCCGCTCTCCCCCCTCTCTCTCTTTCTCTCTGTTTAAAAAAATATTTTTTAAACTTTCCCCATCTTGCTGTGTCTTCAGCCCGAGCAAAACTCTATCTCTCCATTCGTTGTGAAGAGGGAGGATTAGCAGCTGGGATTTGCCATCACCAGGCTAAAAATGGTTACCAAACTTTTTCTTTTCCCTTTCCTCTTCATCCTCCCCCCTCCCTTGAAGAAATGATAAATAAAAATCAAACCGTGTTTTAATTTCGGTTATGGATGTTTCTGTGTTTCTTTTTGTCTTCCTTTCTCTTCCTCCTCCCTTCCTCCCCTTTCTTTCCTTCCACTTCATTGGCTGGGATGATCTTTCCCTGTTGCTTCTGATGTTTCTTTCTTTTTCTCAGTGTGTGCCTGCCTACCTGGACTAGGGGGAAGATAAGGTAATTTTGAAGGGTTTGAGGAAGCAGCTTACCTGTTTTGAAAACTTTTTTTTGGAGATTTCTTTTTAAGAGTCATGTGAAAATCAGTAATTGAAGTGAGTTTGGTAGCAGCTGGGCAGGTTGAAATTTAAGTGTTATGTGCTGAATGCCTTGGGAATTTGATCTGCTTTATACCAAAGAAGAGCATAGAGAGAAGTATTTATTTATTGGGGGGAATGGCTGGGCAGGGGCGGTGGGGGGAGGAAAGCAGGTTAAGAGAGGGGGAGGGAAGTGGTTTTGGAGACAAGAAGTGAAGCTGCCTGTTTTCCAGTAAGTAATGGAGAAATTCCAGGAGCCAGGGCTAAATATACTTGGCGATCAATACAGAAATGGCTCATTGTGAATAATTTAGCTGCCTGGTGCAGTGAGAGTTTTGAAACTAAAGGCAAAAAAGAGGCCGTGGAGGGAGAGAGGAAATAAAATTCTCCTCTGGTCATGTCAGATTCTTAACTTTTCCACTTAAAAGAACATAGTTATGATTATTGATCTATCTCTCTCTCTCTTTTTTTTTTTTTTTTTTTTTCCCCTCAATATATATCAAATGATAGCTAGGGGGTGTCATTCTATACAGTTACTTGGGTTTCTGGAAAGTAATAGCTTGTTCTGTGTCAGCAAAGTGCTTCCAGAAACTTTAAGATTGCTTCATGCCACAAAATGCATGATCTGAGAGTATTAAGTGTGACGTTCGGCCCCATGCTGCAGCAGATAAATAGGGTTAGAGTGAACAGGTGGGTGTACAGGTGTGTGCGCATGTTTGTCTTTGGGACAAAGAGTTGTAATAACTCTTTCGAAGGGGAATGGATGAGGGAGGGCTTTATTTTGTTTAGATCAGGATGGAGTCTCTTGGAGTGAGTGTGAAAAGAGCAATTGTTAATTGTATCCATCTCCTCAAAGTCTGTTCTGGCTACAAGAGCTGATTATTGATAAAGCATTACCATCCCGGCTTGAACAAAACAAGTGGAAAGTCAGGGGAAAAAACTCTCAGCTCAGGTAAAAATGCGATTGGGGGACAGAGAGGGGTACAGTCAGACCAAGATGATCCCAGTGCCACCTGCCCAGGAGGCAGCTGAATTTCTCTACTCAGATAATTTGCAGAAAGAGTTCAGTGCTTTGCAACTGAGCGCATGCAGCACACTTGTGTTTCTCTAGGCAATGGTTGCAACAGCAGTAAAATGGGCAACTACTTAGGGCTTTAAGTAAGTTTAATCATTTAATGGTTGATACTGACAGGAGTCTTTGAGGGTGTACTTTTCTGCCTTGCAGCACTGCACTTTGACTATGGAAGCAGAGGCTGCTGATGGATATATAACATGTAAGTAGTCATTTCATTTGATTATTCTGAATTAGTTTCCTTTTCCCACTGCCCTTTCTATAATGCAGATGCCTGAAACTTAAGCTTCCTTGTATATGGTCTTTGCTTTGAGATGATGCTGAACTAATAGCATTTAAACATAAACTTTGTGTATGACTGAAAAATGCATGGGGATGAGTGCATGGGTGAGTAGCTCTAGGTTTAAATATTTGCTGAGGATGAATGAACTTTGCAAACGAGAGAGAGTTCATCTTCAGAAATTCAAATTGCAGCCAAAAACTTTTTATGCCTTTCAATATGCATTTCTCCTGTTTTCTGTGTCAGGGCAAAATGTCTTAGTTTAAGTGCTTTGTTTAACTGTCAGTTAACCGAGAGCTCTCGGGGTGTGTGTGGGGGAAGTCTGTATGGAAAGTGCTGCCCAGCCCCAATTTTCAGCCTCTGCTAATGGAAAAGTAATCTTAACTTCTCTTGAGACAAAGCAGCTGGGGCAAGATTTGTCACAGGTGTGTGCATAGAAAACTGGTGACAGTAGGTTTGAGGGGGCTGTTAAAATCAGTCAGTCAAACATTTACTTTCGGCTACCTAGACTCCAGTTTTTACAGGCTCTGAAAGACCCCGCTGGTAAAGGAGGGAAGGGCAGAGGTGAAGCGAGTGAGCGAGTCATACTGTTTCATTGTTGTGTTGCCCTGCTGAAGAAGGGGATGGAAACTTACGGGGGACTTGTTTTATGAAAGCAGGTGACAATGAGCTTTCGCCCGAAAGGGATCACTCCAGCATGGCCATTGACCTCACCTCCAGCACACCCAATGGGCAGCATACCTCCCCCAGTCACATGGCAAGCAGTAAGTCTCTTCTTAAACCTGTTTCTCTCTAGCAGCGTGTTGGGTTAGTCTGGTCCTCGGGGTCTTCAGCTTGCTTACTTGGTCTTAACCACTGCTGTAGGAGTTGCTAATAAAAGAAGAGAAGGACAGGGTAGAGTTTTTTGTTTTTTTTCTTTTCTTTCTTGCTCATGCTGGTGTCTCATCTAAACATGAACGGGATTACTAGTCTGAACTATCCCAAGGTGGCATTTGAGAGCTGGTCCTTACCTGTTCCAGGTAGGAAAACACTAGGTTTGACATGTGCTGGTTTTGTTTCATCAGGTTTTGAAATCCAAGTGGAAATTGTTATTGTTATTATTATTACTTACTATGCTTCCCAAAACACCTTGAAGTAGCTTTATTTGAAAACAAACACATTTTATTTACAAAAAGGCTTTACCCTGGCAAAAGTATAAAGTTAAAATATCTGGGTTTGATGACAGGTTGTATTTTACTATTCCACGTAGAAACTTCAGCATCCTATTCATTACCTCAGCTTTGCCTTGGCAAGTCCAACGCGGCTGGGATAATTGGAAGTTTATGGCACTCAGTAGCTGACTCTCTAACAAACCGAAAGGATTTCGGTTTAGAATGTCAGGGGAGAAATTGAGAAAATGTGGATTTAGGAGTCTATTGAGGGTGTCACGTACTGATAATATTTTTATAATTATTTTCATACAATATTTTGGAGGTGGATAAATGTAATTTATACACATTTCATAAAACCAATGTCCTTACTTTTTTGTGTGTGTGTGAGTGCCATGGCTTGTTTTACTGTTGGCTACAATGTTACATCAAGATACTTACCTTAAAGTACCTCTGTACTTGTATTCAAAAATAATGTAACATGCTTTGCTTCCAATATACTTTCAGAGGGTTCCACTCTATGTGATACTAATTTTCTTTCTAGTGTGTATACTATAGTTCCATATTTATCTTTTTTATTTATCGTATAATACCTCACCGAAAACTGTGAAAGAAAAAGAGGGCTTTTAGGGTTGCTTGCTTTAAAATACACAGTGTGTTGCCTTCAGAGTCTTTCTTATTGAGAAAAAGATGTTACTTTCCTTTAAGAATTCTTCTTTCCTCCTGCAAATTACGCGTAGAACGCAGTTTTTATGAGCCTTTAAAGCTGAGGGTTATTATGAAGATCTCCCAATTATATACATGTTGCTAGAGAATATGATTGCTAATACTCTGGACTGAACTTTATATGACAACCGATCATAACTCAGCATCTTTAGACAATTCCAGTCCTGCTGCACTGGGATTCTGATATATTTTATTATGTTGTAAAAGTTTTACTACTCACTTTCTTCATTTTCTTTGTTTCCTTTTTATTAATGGGAAGCCTTCATTGGAAGGGAAAAAAAAGCTCCCTGTTTTAAATCTTCTTTATAATCTAGACTAAAACCCAGAGTCAAATTAAGGAATAAAAAGATCAAGGATGAAGTAATGCAAAAATACTTGAACACATTCAATATTTTCATGCTCATTGTGTTAACATTTTCAATGATTTTTAAGCTTCATTAATTCTTGCAACACACATGTATCTGCAGCCTTGGTGAAGATCTTATTTTTTTAGATGTGTGTTTTGGTCTCTCACAGGTGTCTCAACTGCTTTCATCCGTGCTGCTCTGCGTTAAGCATGTTCTGCTGTTGAAAAATTAGGGGCTCTGCCTGGGTTTCCTAAGCCACACAAAACTTGAGCTTTTTAAATTTGTTGTAATTTATTTACTCTGCAGGCATAAGAACATTTTGCAGCGAGGCGGTTTGTTCTGTCTTAAACATGGAAGGTATTGATTAGAGGTTGTCGGCTTTTGTGGCAGCTGTTACGTTGGTTCATTTAAGGTTTTTGGCCAAATCTTGAGTCTGGCGTGTGTAAACTAAATCGCCAGGCTGTGCTTTAGAGATTTCCACCTGTTTTACAGGGTACAGGAAATACTTTTAAATGTTCAGTAACACAGGGGTCTGCGACCTCCTTTTTTGTTTTTTTAAATATATATATTTATTTTTTTTTTAGGAGAGGTGGAAGAGTAAGGAGGATAAGCTGTTTGGAATATTTTGTATGAATTTGGTAGCTCCCGATGGATTGATTCATCGTTTTAAGTGGAGGAAATGGCTGTGCTGTATTTCTGTATGGTTTAATTTCTAGTGGAGTCACTGGAGACTGATCTACCATTGGCATGCCGCTGTAGTGAAGCCCAGGACATGTCATTCTGGCTGGGTAGGGTTTCCTAATGGAGGAGGTGGTACATGGATCAGAACCCAAATGTTTCACTCCCGATTTTGTTGCCAGTCATCCCCAGAAGGTGGATGGCCCTATTTAGCAGTAGGCTTGGGATATGCACCTGCAGGGTAGAGATCTAAGTTTTGAGCTTTGTTTTTGCATTCCGTTGAATTGTTTTGAACCACAGCTCTTAATTTAGTCTTAATTTGTGTCTGGCTTAAACAGAGACAAAATCAGAAGAAGCAAATTTCTTGGATCTGTACTGAAGCGATTGAGCAGTGCTCTCCCAGCAACAGTAAAACTATGTGCTACGCACAGAGTTTTCTATGTTCGTTCGCCCCTGGCAATCCATATTAGTAGGAGTTTTGGCTGGGCTACTGACATTTTCAGGTTCTATTCCAAAAGGTTTCAGGTTAAATATTTTGGCTTGTGTTAGAAAGTTGTCTACTGCATCCTTTAACCTATTACGATTTCAAGTATCTAGATGGGATGCATAGGTTATGGATGGGGCTTACGCTCAATTCTCCTTGTGAATGAGATGATCCTGAAAGATAAATCACAGTAAACAGCCTGTCATAGCTAACTAATGATTTTAAATGTACCTTACGGTATGTATCTGCCTTTAGCAGAATACTGTATGTATGTTGGCGCATGCTCTGTTCTAAAATACTTTATTATAGTTTTATGTAAGCAAAGATTTAAAATACATGTAAATAGTCAAACTGAATAGGTTGATAGATCATCTCACTTTCCACTTCAGCAAAGACAAATGAGTGCTATACCTGCTGAGTACAGATGATACATTTACATAGCCCCAAATCTGGAAGTCCAGATTTTCTTGTGATCTTCAGTAGGAAAACTCTTCCAAGAGCTGACACGCAGAGCTGGGCATCAAAGGCCTGCTCAATTAACTTTGTGTTGGTACTAGAGAGTTCCCTGCATGGCCCTAAGCCCTCCTCTAGACCACACCGAGCTCAAGGGAGTCTGTCTTGTTGCCTTTGGTGAATGTTGAACTGGGCTGTAAGTGATCAGGAACCTCAGAATAGGAACTGGCATGCTAATTAAAGACTGATGGGGAATCTTTATAAAAGAGGCTTTAAAAAGAAATAATTCCCAATCACCTCCGTGTAATACCATGCTGAGTTCTTGCTGTAGTTATTTGAGACACATATTACTTTTTTTCCCTGTAGGTTAAAATGGAGTTAGAATAATGTCCCCTTTGGAAACTGCAGAGGCACAGTTGTTTGGTTAGTTGACATGATGCCTACTTTGTATAGGATGAAGGATACTTCTCTGAGACCACTTGCCCAGTATCATATGGAAAATAGTAACAGCGGCTATTAGCATCTGACAGTCAGTGACAGAGGAAATTTCCTCTTAAATTAGCGACTTTACAGTGGGTGTCCTAGATAACTTTCTTATCTTTGCTTTCACAGACAAAAGGAGCCATGTAACAAAACTGAGTCAGAACAATCATAAGTATCAAACTCAACATCTGATGTTTGAAACTGATTAAAATTGTGGTACGCTTTCAAGATACATTTATAGTAGCTTAAAGTGTTACTAAGTTATGAGAAACAATTTATTAAGAAAATAAGCATTGTCAATTGATTCTGCTGAAAATAATGAGGCGATTGCATTTTCTCGGTGGTGGGGAATGATTGCGCTGTATGACTAGATAACCGTTGGGATAACAGTATTAAGTGTGAGTGATTTCAGCAGCAGTATTTAAACAGAACTTGGGCAAGGTCTTCTATAATGTAGTCAATACTGTGTTCCCAGTGACCAGGGTAGACTGGAGTGGACTGTCACTTTTTTTTTTTTTTTTTTTGTAACTTCAAAGCCCCAAATCTTTCTTGATTACTTTCATTTTTCAACTCTAAATTGTCATACAAGCTCTGTTTTTGTCACAGCTGTGTTGCCCTGAACAGAAAGTTTCATGTACCACAGTTGTATCAGCACCACATCTGTATGGATAAGAAAACCTAAGCGTGCAGTCTGCCTTTTGGAATGAAAATGAGTAAAATTAGGGGTTGCTTCATGCCTCGGCTACGTAGCAAACAAGCCTTTCCATCTCCAGGGTCTATGGCCCAGGCATGTGAGACTAGACCTTGCACTGGGATTCTTTTTGGCTCAGTATGTGTTTTTTCAGTAGGATGGGGTGATGGAGGCTGAGCCTCTGCAGGAGGCTTTTCTTTAGGGAGGGTGGTTGAAGCGGTCTGGGCTGGGCTGCAGGGGGTAAACTGAATTAGTGCTTTGAGGCAGTCACTCCCCTGACACGTGCACTGGGGCACGAACAATTCTGGCAGCCAAACTGCTGTGCTCTGAAGTGGGGATTCAGGTCTCCAGTTCTTCCAAATATCTTGGAAAGTGTGAAACACGGTATATGATGCTAAAAACTTGGACTGGATAACCTCAATATGCCGAGGAATCTCTTTCCTCTGTGGACTTAAGGAGTAGGGTAGGCAACATCTGTTGGCCCAGGTATTTTTGATCCTGCCTCAGTGCAGGGAGGTAGACTTCTGACAGTCACTTGAGATGTCCTCCAGTCCTTTGTGTCTGACTTTCCAACCTTGACAGCTTGATGTTTAGAGAGCTCAGCTGTGGAATTTCACGATGATGCCTGATACAGATATACTTGTGGTTTTACAGGTTGAAGGGTGCTGAAGATGCACTATGCCGAGACAAGCTTAGACATAAGGGATGAGCTCAATAAAGTGTGGCAGGGAACTGGTCAAAGTGAACTACTTTG